TTTAAGAACCTGGGCAATTTATGCTTTAGTTTTCATTGCGTGGTTGGGTGTAGTACCTTTGACTGCTATGCGTATATACAGAACTATTTTTGCTGCTACGTCAGTGGCAGATATATTTGCCTTGCCCTTTCATTTGTTTTCGATGGAGAATATATTATTTGATTGTTTCAAGGTGAAGAATTGTTCAAAAGTTTATAAATCGTGAACTTGATTTTGTTTTGTGTTTAGTTGCATTCTTGTTTGCAGGGTTGTTTTATAGTTTCGATATTTTTGTGTACATTCATTTCTTTGGTTTGGCTGCGAGAGCAAATTAATAATGGCGGGCCACAGGAGTGGTTGAATTTGGAAACTCCGGAGTCGGTAAATTACTTTGAAAAGATTTACTTGTAATAAGTTCATTTATCAGAAAAATTAGGCGTTGTAGCAGAAATTTATTCGATTTTTTTTTGTAATTTTTTATTTTACAGAACCAGGGAGAAGGAGTGAGATTGAATAATGGAGCGCCAAATGTTTTTGAAGACTTGGAGAGACGTGGCGGTAATCTCGCAGGACGGATCGTCGAGGAAGGGCAAGGGGATGTTGCAGTTCAAGAACAGGGCGATGCAGATAACTGGCGTGATTGGGAAAGGGTTGCTGATGAGCTGACCTGGCAACGACTGCTTGGCTTAGACGGATCCTTACTGTTTTTGGAACATGTCTTCTGGGTTATTGCGTTGAATGCCATATTTACCCTCTGTTTTGGTAATACTTAGATTATTCATTTCTAGTCGAAGAAAAGTGGTTCAGTATTTTATATAGAATATTACTCTAATTGATTTTTTTGTGACGAAGTAGCAGCTAGAAAATCTCGTAACTTGGATTAAAAATTCCAGACGAATTAATTTTTATTTTATCATTACAGTGCTATAGCCAGTATGAGATATTTTCAAAAGTACAAACAGTAATGTTTAGCGAACCGAACCTTTTTGAGATATTCAGCCGTAAAATTTGGTTCGTTTAGATCTGTGTGAAAGTGTTAAAAGACATTCTTTTAGCATTTCTTCCGTTTCATTTGGGGAACACCGCCTTGAAATTCTTCGGTTTTTATTCTTCAATAACATATTTTCCGACACCAATAGCTATACTGTTGGGATATGTGATCGTTAGTTTTGCAGTGCGTGGTCTCCATCTACTAGCAAGAGTTATTCGATTTCCATTGTAAGTTCCCATAGTTTGTTATGTTGCAAATTTAAAAGTTTTTGCTTGACTAGGATCTAAACGTTTTGCTTTTCTCAACTTAAAACGTGCCAACACACTTAACTTTATCAATTTTTAGGGTTTATCGCATGCTGGGGATGTGTTATTTAATGTTGAAGGTATTCCTGCTTATGCTTGTTGAAATTGGATTTTTCCCTGTTATTTGCGGTTGGTGGCTAGACGTGTGTTCCCTTGTATGTTGAGTTTTCCTCTTCTTTAGCCCTTAGTTCAATTTCTTGTACTATCTCAAGAAGTTTTCTCTCTCTAAATTTTGTTTCAGCCGCTTTTTGCCACGACTCTCACCAGACGTATGATTGCCTTCACAGAGTCTCCCTACACTTCAGTGTTTATGCATTGGTTATTTGGGATGGTATATGTGTTTTATTCCTCGTCTTTTGTTCTTATCCTGCGGGAGGTTTTACGACCAGGTGTTCTTTGGTTTTTGAGAAATTTAAATGACCCGGATTTCAATCCAATACAAGAGGTATCACCTTTTTTTTGTTACCTACTTGTTAACTCTAAGATTTTTGTTTATGGAGGTGCTAGGCTTTTTCAGTCACTATATTTCGATTGAAAATCTCTGTTGTATACCTTGTTGCCTTCGTTGCTATGAAGAAAAATGTTATTTTTCGGCCTAAAAAATACATCTGTAATGTAGTGCACACTTTGCCACCACTTGAATGATATTTTGACGAAGCAGTTTTTGAAGAACTGGAGACTGTTTTGGAACTAGATAGGATTGGGGAATTTTATAAAAACAAATTTCTCACGAACAGTTTTCGGAAAAATTTAGAGCTCTAACTGGGCGCATTATCATACATCGTATCCATAGATGATTACTTCTCCAAGTCAAGCAACACTTTACCGCATTAGCCCTCTAATCAGTTGATAGGAGCATTTGTCATTCACCATCGAGAAGGAGCGAATACCAAAGCTATTAAAGAAAACTTGATCCTTTTCTGCGCTGGATAAATTTAGGCGTGAAATGGAGTCTCTGGTTAGCCGATAACCGCTGTTAATTGAGGATGTTTCGAACAGCATACAAGCGTCGTCTTATCTGCTAGATTAATTGATTAAAGCGAACTTAAGACATTTAGCCACAGGTTGAATAATGTATTGGTTCCTTCAGTAATTAGCATACTTTAGACATAACGTCCTCACGGAAAAAACGACGGAGGTTTTTAGTCTTTTAGGAGTATTCAAGTGTTCAGCAGTACGCCTTGTTTATCAGTATATGTGTTTTTTATGTGCCTTCGTCTGCAGGCTTCCATTTTGTATTGTGAGGCCCATAGTTCTGTTTATTTTTCTCTGATAAAGAGTTCTGCATGTTGCAGTCACAGAAAAAAATTGCTCGGAGTTATCACTGAACTCTTCTAAAACTGGACACATTTTCACTGCGTTATGGTAGTGTGCTTTCAGGGCGTTTAGATTCAGTTTTAAAGTAATATCAAAAAAAGATTTGAAATCAGAGTACAGAGCTTTGACTTCTTTCACGACTTCATAGGATAAATGAGACTTGTCTGGACTTCCATTTTCTCAACTGCTTCAGTGGCTTGTTCTGAAATTCGGCTATTGAGGTGGTGGCAAATTTGGTGGATAATTCGAAATAATTGTTTTTTTTACAGATGATCGATTTGCCTGTTGCCCGTCATATGCGCCGGCTGATAGCTTCTATCTGTCTTTTTTTTACGACAATTATTCTTGTCGTCTACGTGCCGCTGTGTATCATCTCTCGCTTCTTTCCTTTTGTGTTGCCTTTTAACTTCACGTTAGCATCAGAAACACCACTTGGGGAACTCTCAGTGGAGTTACTAGTTTTACAGGTTCTTCATTGAAACTTTCGTAACCTGAAGAGAAATTGAATGGTTTAGAGCTACACGTTTAAATCATTTTTTTTTTTTTTTTTTTTTTGTAGATTGTCCTTCCTGCGTTGCTGGAGCAGACTCATGCTCGGAATCTCCTTAAAGTTATTGTTTTATTGTGGTGCAAGTTCTTTGGCCGCCTGCTAAGCTTAGAGCACTATTTACTTCCGGAAGAGAACGCTTCTAACCCTCCACGGCCTGTTCAGCTGCCGCCAGCAGATGGAGGAGGTTTAGCAGCTCAACATCAGGTATTAAAAATCTCACTAAATATTAGAATCGCTGAGCAGTAATTTTGGAATGAGAATTTCATTTGTTTTCTAGGCGCTGCTTCATGTACGAGAGCCGCAAGGACCACAGAGTTATTCCAAACCAAAGTTATTTGGTATCAGAATCTTTGCTATTTTGGTAGCACTTTCAGTAACTTCTGTGTGCTTTAGCACCGTTTTTTATGTAGTTCCTGGTACGTTCTATACCACTTACATGCTTTTCTTATTACTTTTTTTTCCAAAGCCACAAAAACCATATCATTCTCAAAGCAAGTCACCTATAAGTTTTCAACATTTCTCTGATTTTCAGCTACTTTGGGCCGATACTTATTTCTGAAGGTCGCTGGTCTTTCGAATGTGCATGAGTTCTATACTGTACTGATCGGGATGTATGTGTGCTTTTTAGCGCTAAAATCTGCAATATTTTGTATTGAATGTGCTAACATGAATTCCGTTTTCCTGATTCGCTCAGTCAAGAAGGCTTTTGGCACTGTATGTTTCCTTCAATTTTATGATAATTTTCCTAAAAGTAAATAGGCTATTGTTAACTTGTCCTTTTATCTCATTCCAGATATCTTTATTTTTATAGGGTCTTGTCACAAGAATCTTTTTTAGATTTTCAAGGTTTTGGCTGTTGTTCTTCCCGTATTGGTTGTCATCCCGCTGTTAACCGGCATGTGTTTCCAGTTATCTGTGATTAATGCTCTGCGTATATCAAACTTCCAGTCGGCTTTATTCTTTCCGTGGCAACATTGGGCTATGGGTATTTTGCAGTGGAAACTATTTTGTGCACTTGTGGCTATGGGACCTGAGTGGTGGCTGAAAATAGTGTTCAATAGGGTAAAATCATCAATATACTAGAAGTGTTGTGCTTTGGCAGTTCCTGACTCTGTGAAACCTCAGAGATCATGCTTTACTGTTACTTCCTTTTTTCATTTAATAATGTTTTCAGCTTTACGAGGACGGTATTCGTGGACTTCGTTTAACATATCTTTATGAAAAATTAGTTGCACCTATTCTCGCCAGCCTCAGTTTATTTCTTTCGGTCCCGTACGTTTTTTGCGGAATCATTGCACGTGTTGCTGGGCTAACTTATGAAGAGCACGCGTATATCACACGTCTCTCTTACCCTTGCATCCTTTTCCTGATGCTTTCTGTACAGTTTCTATACTGGCAGTGCACGAAGATAAAAGCATTGGAGTTAAAAATACGCAACGACAAGTAGGTTTTACACCGTATTCCTTTGGAAAGAGAAAAGTAGTAAAGGTCTTAACGTATTGCGCGTTCTTTGCCAGTTGACCTCCACTTATGAGTTTTGAAAATAACCTCTTTAATTTTCTGACGTCGGTTGGTTTTTTTAGGTACCTTGTACAAACCAGGCTTGTCAATTATGAAAGGAAAGAAAATGTGCAAGAGCAAGGGACTATTTTGAGTTCTGACGCTTTAGTACTGTGATCTATGTTGCATTCAGTTCCTCTGATGCCATTGTCTTTAATAAAATTTAATAGGGGTTTGGGCACTTGAGTTATAAACAAGTTGTACAGATACGTGAAAGCTGGGGAAGTTATTGGAAGGAGGTTTCATTACTGGTGTCGTGGAATGTTCTTTTAGCCCGCTATTAATAACGCAAATTTTTTATTGTGATGAACAGATTTTTATGTTACTATATAAAGGTTTTTTCTTGTAAATTATCCTATTTATCAACTTCCGAGGATTAATTTCGGGTCCGATTTCGCTGATGTCCCGCATTGGAGTTATTGTGGATCGCTCTCCCTCGATGTAGTCTTGGTCGCCATTGAGCAGTGCAATTTGCTAAAATGCTTTTGTAGCGAACAAAGTCAACTTTTTATCTAAAGTTTTGTAACTTTTCAGTCAGCTCCTACTGGTGTTCTCAAACGTAGTTCATGGATGGTTTCTTATTTGATGTAATAAAGGTTTTTGTTTTCTCTGTGTCCGCTCACTGACATAAAGTGGATTGCCACTGGTTTGTGTAAGAATAGTCCAGCAAAAGAGTGACTAACATTTTCTTTATCGTTTACCAACTGCGGACAAATCCTCGTCGGAATCTCGATTTTCTCGAGTTGCAATCCTGTTCTTCCTGCTTCTATTATCCTGGTCAATTCATATGCCTGCGGTGGAGGGAGGATATACAACCCGTTTTCGGCGCCCTCCACGGTTTCTAACGGGACCATCCACTTTGCCTCTGAGAGTTCTGATTTGTGGGAACGGGGGACCGGCGAATCGCTGACTTTCATGGCATAAAAGGTATTGTCGAATCGTTTAGGGTAGTCGAACGGCGTTAACCAGGTGCTAAGACGAAAGCCTAAATGGGCAGCAACAAAGCTTAATAATTTGGTTCACAGAAAAAGGAAGTTTTAGGAAGGGAGGAAAACGGAAAGGAGAATAAGAGAATAGGCTTGTTAAATGGATATGCGAATTGAGCAGTCAAAGTGTTGCTTGGGTTTTTAATTTCAAGGGTACTACTGGAAGCGGATGGGTAAGAAGGCAGTTTGATAACTCAGCCAGAAAACAAAGTTCTAGTTTGTTGGAGATGGTTAATTAAAAATCGTTATATTTGTACCTGACAAGTCCAATTTGAACTGATGCTTATTTTGTGTACAAAATTCTTGAAACGTCGCGTTTTTCCGCTGCAGTTTCAGCTGCCACTTAGCTAAATAAGGACTTGCTGAAGCACTAAGTACACATCTGAAAAAGGTGAATTTAAATAAGCAAGTGCTAGCTGAATCGCTGCTATAACAGTCAGAAGAAAAGTGGTTGAACGAAGACTTGTCTTTGCCATCCTTTATCACTGGTAACAAGCCACATTCCTCAAATAATTCTCGGACTGATGCAATTTTTCCAGACACTTGAGTAATATTCTCGCTGTTATTCCGCAAGCAACTTTTGGAAAAATTAATATCTTCTTGGTCAACAACTCCTCCTGGGAAGACTAGTGTGTTTGGCATAAACGAGGCTGAGCTAGAACGTCGACCCAAAAGAACTTTGCCATTTTTGGAGTTGACTAAAGAAAATTTTTGATACTGACAAGTAAAGAGTGGATGACAGATAAGGTTCCATCAACAAAGAAGGCTTTCAGTAAATATAATGGCAACATACTGAGTAAAAGTACTGCGGACTTTCTAATTTGCGCTGTACTCATTTCAGGTGACTTGTTCTTCCTCCCAAAAACACTGATTCAATTGGATCTCAAAAACGATGAAACAATTCTTCAATTTACGAGAAATGACACAGTACTGGGGTCCTTTTTGGACCCAGCCGTCGGGCGAAACTGCTAAGTTTAAAAAAAGAAAAACTAATTTTTTATCATTAATCGAAGCCTTAAGACCATAAAAGTTCAATATAGTAATTATTGACACAAAATTTTCACCAGTGCTCAGAACAGTACATATGCCTGCTCAAACCTCGCATCAAGTGTTGTACTCTCCTGAAGGCAGTCAAAGGCCAAGCAAGTGCTGGCAAGGGCCTTCGACGGTAACTAGTTTAGTGGCGCCGTGCGCAGTGAGCCTTCATTGGTCGTTCCTCATTGGCTACGTGCCTGTTGTGAACGGAGCAAGTTTAATGACCAGAAGGTGTCTAAATGGCATTGCATGTTGTAGATTCCATTTTAAACTGCTTATTTTTTCACTCCAAGTCTCAGGTTTTATTTTGTTCTCTGTCAACTTGTAGGACTTGATAACCGACTGCAGAACGCTGACAGTTAAAACTTGGTCTGAAAGTGTCGTTGGAGGGTGTCTCTCGCTGCTAGTCTTTCAGTCTACTCCATAAGCGGCCACAGCGACTTTTCCTACGCGATGTTGTAAGGAAGTGGCTTTCTGCTGCAACCCGAAAGCGAATTTGGTGTTGTGATATAGCTTGGTCAAAAAAGTAGATGATCTTTAAGTCGTATCTTTCCTTTGGAACTTTTAACATTTGAAGTTGAAACAAGTTGTGGCCGAACTTTTTGCTGTCGCAGAATCTCCTCTAAAAGTTTTGCCTGTAACAAAAAGACAATTTGTATTGTTTTGCCTATCACCACCTTGCAATACTAAATTCATCTCTACAAATACTACAGAGCTATCATATTAAAGTCAGCAGTTTTTTTCTAGTTTGGTCTAAAAATAAAATTTTTTTCAGCTTGTTTAACGATACCTATACTACAGCTGAAAATACGTCGAAACTTCTTTCATTCTCACTTTTTTTGCTGAAAACTTCCTCGTTCTCTGCAACATGGTAACTCCAAAGCAAATGTTACAGCAGAGCTTACTATAAAAACGATACAAAACTAAGAACTTGTACTATATTTCTATTGCTATAATTTCCTTTGTTTTGCACGTGTTAAAATACTTCCTTTTTCTTAGTAACTGGCAACATTCTTCAAAGCTTGTAAGCACAATTTTAACACCGAAGATAAAACTACCAGTATTTATCGCTCTTTCCAAACCGTGATTTGTGGTCTTCACTTTGCTGTTGCCGGGAGGTTGAATAACAAGTTTACAAACTGGAAAGCTTTTCATTTTTGTTGCTTATAGTTCCTATGGAGTACAATTAACTGTACATTTCTAGTTTAACTCGCCAAAGTATGAGCCAAATAGAAGCTATGATTCCGAAGGCAACATTTTTAAACTACTGGACAGACAGAGAGCTTGAAGGAAGACTATTATGTGATTTTTGTGTCCGTGATTCCGTGTTTAAAACGTACCACTGATCTTTGTCTACCGTATTTCTTGTGCCGCGTTAACCTCCCAACATTTTCACATATACTGTACGATGAATGCTAATGTTTGTCTTTCCTTTGAGGTAAAGTTCCCAACATGTACTGTACAAAAGAGATTGCACGAACATCGTATGGAGTTAATAAAAGTAATAAAACAGAACCGTGATAGACCTTTTGCTATTAAGGAAATATAGGAAGCATTATAGAAATGCATATGGGAAGCAAAACATCTTGGGGTGCAAAAACAAGTACCGATTACTCTTACACATGTAAAACTGGTTTACAAAGAAGCATGTAAATGCGCATCAGAATACAGAATCAAAGCCGAGGTCTTCAACACATCAACTGCTGAATACTTCCCAACCTAGTTTAAATCAACATCCCTCATCAATTTTTAAAACAGCCGTATTTTTGAAAAAGCCTTGCCATCTTTTCCCCAGTGCTTCTCAATCTTGTTACCTTCTCAGTTTAAACCATCACCACTAAGAAGCATTGACCTGCACTCTAAGCCGCCCCTTCCCAATCAAAATTACTCTTAATTCACTTCCGTCTCTGAATAACATCTTCCTCCCTCCATCAACGGTGAAGTCGCTCCATTTCCAGCAAGACTGTCTTGAAACATTAAAAACCTTTGTCGTGCCAGTCGTAATATACCAAATTTTGAACTCTGCAAGTCTCAACAGAAACTGACATTCTGGTAGAAGTCAACCAAGAAATTTTGAACTAATTACATGCGTGAATTCCACTCTACAAAAAATTGCAAAAAAACCGTGAAGAGAAATTGAAACTAACCTGCAACGAAGAAAAAAATTGATATTAAGAAAACTTTTACGCAGTGAACAACTTATGCAGGGCTCCATAAAGGATATACTTACAATATGAAAATAGACAAAAACTGCGCTACTCTTTCACCGAAAAACTCCTATATGTAAGCCCTATACCGACTTGGAAATGCTTTTCGTAACTGCACTAAATCCTAAAAGAGTCCAAAAACTTTTTAAGCACCATCTGGGGTCAAAATCTTAACTGAGTCGCCCAGTTAATCTCTCGCTGAAAATAAAATAATCCCGGAGGTCTTGATTCGTTCGTGCCCACTCTACATGACAAGTCTTACTGCCTGAATCCAAAAGCAAATCAGGACCACTAAACCCAACAGATCTTTTTTTGACCCCGAAAGAGAAGGAACTAAATTTCTCTTCCCACAAAAAACGTAGGTGAAAGAGCGCCACTCAGGTTAGCATAGCACCGACAAACTAACAAGTTTTTCAAAGAGCTAGCATTATACAACAAGTTACAAAACGATCCAATGAACAACAAACAAAAAAATTAAGAGCTATCATAAAAGATAGGCAACATCAATATAAATTCCTGAGAACTGAATGAAAATTGCTGCAGAAAAACAAAAAGAATGCAAAGAAAATATGCGTCATATAAATGATTCATCCTTCCAGTACCTTCAATATTAAGTAATCGCAAATAACTAGAAAAAGAGATTACAAAAATTACAAAACATGAGAATCGTTTCACAGCAACCAAAACAACAGGGATAAGTAAATCTTAAAACACGCATCTTAATGATTATTTTGAGCAAGAAGTAAGTTTTATGAATGCACATAATTTAGCAGATAACCAGCATCAACAAGGTTAAGAAAGTTAAAGGCAAAAAACAAATTTTAAAATGAATTAAACAGAACCTTCGCTTCCCACATTAAAAAATTAGGACTAACCATAAACACAATAAAATTACCTTTCATGACTAAACTAATAAATTTTCCACAAATAATACTCGATTAGCTGAACACTCAGCACTTTTTACTTTTTTACACCTAGATCTCTAAAGAATTTCATGCCACTAAACGCATAAACTAATAATCAATTTAAATAACTAAGAAGATTAGAGCATTACTCAAGAATATTTCAGCAGTGAGTCAACTGCCTAAAACGTTCCGATAAAAGGAAAATATTTAAAGCTTAAAGAAAATGCTAACTGCCACTGCATCGATTTCTAAGCTGAGACATCAAACAATCTGTCTATAACCATTTCTAGCGAATCTGGAGTATATTTTATATGTTTCTCCAGGCTTTTAGCAAATGGCGAACGCATTATCCTAAATGATACTCAAATTCTTTTAAAACGAGAAATAATAAAAAAAGCCTGAAAAATCCATGAATTTGACGAAATGCCGATTCGAAGGCTGCTAATAAAATAAAGTAGCAATTTTAACAGTTCCAAATATCAGATAAAAACCTGTTGTAAAAGTCCGTATATGGTTCCAGTAGCAGTTTCCTGATGCTGTCCTTAATACTTTGCGAAACTTTAACATCAGCGATACAATATCCTTTCTGAGCAGCAATAAGCTTCTCAAACTCACTGGTGAACGTCTACAAAAATTCATATACTCAGTTTTATTTTTGAATCCATCTAAGAAAGCCTTGGTTTGAAACATAGAAAAACTAAAAGGATAAACAGCCATAAAATGTATCAAAAACCTGAATCGAAAAGATAAATTCCTTATCTAAATTAATTTTAGCAATATTTCTTGTGGAAATTCAGTATAAAACGTTCCGTATATTTAAAGAACTATAATTATTCCCAATAAACCTATTTCTTAAGTAAAGAACTAACCAGAAGAGTGTTACGATAAGCCTGCTTATCGTCATATGGAACAACTTCATGGACCAAAGAACTTATAACACGATCCCAGCTAAATAAATACTGTCCAATGAAGTCTTTTTTGAACACATATCGCAGAGTAAACTCGAAGACAACAAAATATCAAAAATCGAAAAATTAATAACCTTTGCATATACTTCTCCTTATAGGTACTTATTTCGTACTTATAAAACGATCGTATTTCGGAGTTATGTTCACATATAAGAGCAAATACTCCATCATTTTGTAATACATGATGAATGTAACTATTGTTATTCAGTAGAAAAACGGCAGCTAAAGTTTCGTCAGTGCCATAATTGTCTGCTTTATTTTTCAAATTCAGACGTAGGGCTGAGAGAACACGAGCTAAAAGTTTAGTTAAAAAATGTTTATTTTACTATAAACCGTCTCTTGAGCGTCGGTAAAATTAAAATGAAGAAATTAATTACGAAAGAAAATGTAGAGTAGCAAATAAATAAGATTAAATAAGATTAATAAGATTAATAAGTAATCACAACATCAAAACCTA